TATTTATTTGAGAGAGAGAGAATGAGAGACAGAGAGCATGAGAGGGAGGAGGGTCAGAGGGAGAAGCAGACTCCCCGCCGAGCAGGGAGCCCGATGCGGTACTCGATCCCGGGACTCCAGGATCATGACCTGAGCCGAAGGCAGTCGCTTAACCAACTGAGCCACCCAGGCGCCCCTAGGGTGTGCCCTATTAAAAGTAATTGATTAATGGATTTTTTTTTTTTAATTTAAGATTTTACTTATTTGTGAGAGGGAGAGAGAGCACAAGCAGGGGGAGTGGCAGGCAGAGGGAGAAGCAGGTCCCAGGCTGAGCAGGGAGCCCGGTGCGGGGCTCGATCCCAGGACCCTGGGATCTTGACCTTAGCCAAAGGCAGACGCTTCACCAACTGAGCCACCCAGGCACCCCAGATTTTTAAAAAATACTTATTTTTAGAGAGAGAGGGAGGGAGGGGTAGAGGGACAGTCTCAAGTGGACTCCGAGCTGACTGCAAGCCTGATGCAGGGCTCGATCCCATGACCCTGAGACTACATCCCAAGCTGAGACCAAGAGTTGGACGGTCAACCGAGTATGTCACCCAGGCGCCCCTTGATTGATGGATTTTTTTTTTAAGATTTTATTTTTAAGTAATCTCTACACCCAGTGTGGGACTTGAACTCATAACCCTGAGCTCAAAAGTCCTATGTTCTACTGACTGAGCCCGCCAGGCTCCCCGCGCCTTATTAAAATTTAGATTAAACGAGTCTAAATTTGGTTGAAATGTCAATGGAAATTTTTTTTCTTTTTTAATCAGTGGAAATATTTTTAATTCCTAGCTGCTTTGGTCTGAGAGTCGTATAGTCAGACCCTTGCAAATACTCTGTGAATTAGGACTGTCCCATATGAATTTGTTTTCCCTTCTCTTGCAGGTTCATGCTGAATATTCTAGATTTGTGAATCAGATTAATACTGCTGTACCTTTACCAGGTGTGTATGTCTTAAAGTGTTTAAGAAAAAGAAAAGTTTTGTTAGTGATATTTATGTATAAAGTAGGGTGTTTAGGGCTAGACCGTGCCAGGGCACTAAGAGTGTTCCCTTCGACTTAACGGTAATTTGGAAAGCCATTCGTCCCTCAGTGTTTTTCTTCCCTAGAGATTAAGTTAATATTCAGCCAAAATGTCTCCTTTTGCTACAGCTGATTAAACACTTTTTTTCTTCCCCCTCAGGCTATACACAACCCTCTGCTATAAGTAGTGTCCCTCCTCAGCCACCATATTATCCATCCAATGGCTATCAGTCTGGTTACCCTGTTGTTCCCCCCCCTCAGCAGCCAGTTCAGCCTCCCTACGGAGCACCAAGCATAGTGCCCCCAGCCGTTTCGTTGGCACCTGGAGTCTTGCCAGCATTACCTACTGGAGTCCCACCTGTGCCGACCCAGTACCCGCTGACGCAGGTGCAGCCTCCGGCCGGCACTGCACAGGTAGGAGGCCAGGCGCGGGGCGGACCCCGCTGACCTCGGGAGAGCTGCCCGGGCAGAGGCGGCGGCACCTGCGGGAAGAAAGCGTGTCGTTCCTGCGTAGCGCGAGGTCTTCTGTTCTGTTCCTGCGGTGTCACCGCTCCCAAGCTACCCAGATGCTCTAGGGCAGCGTGTACACGTGTGTGTGCGTCCCGAAGTCTCTAGCTCCGTGTCACGAGTCTTTCCACCAAGTGGTTGTTTAAAAGAGGAGTCAGGAAGCTTGCTCTGGAGTGCCAGGTGGCAGATAGGTTAGACCCTGCGGGCCACGCGGGCTCTGTCACACCCGCTGCCCTCCGTCGCTGAGGGGGCACAGCCCCAGCCCAGGACGATGCGGAACGACCGCGCGGGGCGGGGCCCTGAGAACACTGGGTTTCCTGAAGTGGGTGATGAGCCGCAGTCGTGGGCCGTCGCTCGCCTGCCCCTGCCTCAAGGAGAAGGGGGCCGGCCTACATGCCTCTCCATGATCGGAACTGAGTCACTAATCTTCAGAAGAAATGCACCATGTGCAGGGGTTCTGGGCCGAGAGGTACATGAACTTTGCCAACTTAAGGATTAGAAATGTTCTTGTATATTTCTCAAGTTACATAAGAAACTAGAATTTTAGGAAAGGGTAGGTAGCTAGCTCATC